TGTTCAATGGCTCAATGCTATATATTCATCAAAGTCAAAGAAATAAAACATTTTTTTGAAAAAAAAAATCATTTCATTAAAATGATAGTGAAGAACCAGGCCAACCCAACCAAACAAAAGAAAATGGAGTGGGTTAAGGTTAGGGTTGGTGTTCTTCACTGTTCAGTGGCTCAATGCTATATATTCATCAAAGTCAAAGAAATAAAACATTTTTTTTTAAAAAAAAAAATCATTTCATTAAATGATAGTGAAGAACCGGGCCAACCCAACCAAACAAAAGAAAATGGAGTGGGTTAAGGTTAGGGTTGGTGTTTCAACAAACTTAGGTTGGGTTAGGGTTGATCTCAACCCAACCTAACCTGACTCAACTTGCACCCCTATTACCTTAGGGACAAGAACAAATACTTTAACGTTATCAGTTAGAAGAAAAATATGAAAAATACTCGTGATTCTTCACAAGTGTCTGTAATGCAGGAGTTACTGTTTGCTTCAATCTTCTTCCAATTGATCATTCCTAGATCAAAAAGAAAATTTCATGCATGAGAACTGGAGAGGACGAGTTTCAGATTTGCTTTATCACTGGTTTAAACTTCACGATAAAATCCTCCAATCGTGAAGCTCCATAGAACAGTGACTCAAGTACCCAATAAGAAGAACAGCCAAAGGGACCAAAAAGGATAAAGACAAAAAAAAATGCAGAGGACACAAGTTGAAGAAAGACAAAGATCAAAAAGAAAACCATCAAGCAGAAAACAGAAAATCATAACACTGCAAGTCTGTGATGATGGTCATAGTAGACCGTTTTATTAAATAATGCACACTTTCCTGCATTACCTCACACTAATGCAGCAGCATTGGTGGCTGACACTTTTTGTCAAAGAGGTGGTTAAACATCATGGTATCCCTTTTACTACTGTCTCTAATAGGTATTTGGAGCGACCTCTTCTGTCTTCAGGGCACTCATTTGGCTCAATTCACTAGTTACCACCCCCAATCTGATGGATAGACGAAGGTGGTAAACTGTTATCTTGAAACTTATCTTAGGTGTTTCACTGGAGATTACCCCAATAAGTGGACAAAATGGTTGCCATGGGCAGAGTTAAGGTATTATACCACCTTCCAAATAGCTGAATGTATGACACCTTTCCGATCTCTACATGGAAGAGAACCCCCTTCTATACTGCCATAGGAGAATGGATCTACAGTGGTGGCTTCAGTACAACAGCACCTGTTTCAGTGAGACCAAGTCATACAAAACCTCAAGGCTAATCTCTCGTGTGCACGGCAAATAATGAAAGCCAACCATGACAAGAAGCACAGGAAAAAGTCACTTGAAGAAGTAGATGACATACTTTACTTGCATCTGTAGCCTTATTGCCAAGCATCAGTAGCAAAGAGAGAATGGCAAAAACTGGTCCCCAGATATTTTGCACCTTTTCAAGTGCTAGAGAAGATTGAACAGGTTGCATAAGATGCATCAAGAATTACATGGTTAGCAGCCCAACTCTGCCAAGTTTCTTTAATGAGTGAACTTCAAATTGAGCCTCTAAAAATTATCGATTTCCAATGGATTAAAGGGGGTAGCATGTCATCAACGAAGCTCGGGTTATATGGTCCAACTTACCCACGGAAGATGCCACATGAGAATCATGTGAGCACCTTCAAAGAGAGTTCCCTCACATCAACCTGAAGGACAAGGTTGAACTCCAAGATGGGAGAACTGTTAAGCCCAGTCCTGTGGCCCAGGCCCATACTAACCCACCAGGCCTGAGATATTGACAAGTATACAGGAGGATGCCGCATCAGCTGGCCTGATACTAAGACTTCCATGTTGTACAAGTCTATAAAAGGCTAACTGAATTTGAGGTTGGGCACCTCAAATCGCTTATGTCATGCAGGAACCTAACAGCTAATCTCAAGTTTAAGAAGGGTTTGAATTTCTTCCTCACACCCATCTCACAGGTCACAACCCTTGCAGCTACACATCAGGAACACTGTGCTTGTATGTTTTTAGTCATGGGGAGATGTTCCCAATGCACAGCTGCAAATGCTGTGAGGTGGGTGTAAGGACCAATTCTGTGAGGAGTAACGTCTAAGAAATAAAAGCATTATCATCTAAGTCTTGTCCCAGCTACATGAATCCTATTTTGCCATTCTGCTTGTTCACTGTTCAATGGCTCAGTGCCATATCCATCGAAAACAAAGAAATAAAAACAGTGTTTTGAAAGAAAACCCAAAAAAAAAAATAATAGATAAAAGAAAAATGAGTGGGTTCGTATTAAGGTTGGTGTTTCAACAAACTTAGGTCTGGTTAAGGTTGACCTCAACGCAACCTAATCCGGCTCGACTTGCACCCCTATTACTCAGGGGTGAGGACAAATAGTTCTTTAGCGGTATCAATTAGAAGAAAAAATATGAAGAATACTCAAGATTCTTCAAGAGTGTGTCTATAATGCAGGAGTTACTGTCTGCTTCAATTTTTTCCAACTGATCACTCCTAGATCAGAAAGAAATTTTCTTGCATGAGAACTAAGAAGACGAGTTTCAGATTTGCTTTATCACTGGTTTAAACTTCACAAAAAATCCTCCCATCGTGAAGCTCCATAGAACAGTGAATCAAGTATCCAATAAGTACAGCAAAAGGAGCCAAAAGGACAAAGACAAAAAAAAGTAAAGGACACAAGTTGAAGAAAGACAAAGATCAAAAAGAAAATCAAGCAGAAAAGAGAAAATCATAACACTGCAACAAAAAAGAAAATGCATCAGCACATAAGTTGAAGAAAGAAAAAAGAAAATACTAAATAGATAATCATAATCCTCCCTCATACACACAAACACATGGCAAGTGATTTTAGCTAGATGAAGCACCTTTTGTTTTCTATTTATATCTAGAGAAAGCATTGTTTGCACTTTGTTGCATGTTGAGGGTTCTCCCTTAGAATGAAAAGTAATAAAACAGCCAGCAGAAAAAAGAAAACAAACCAGATGATCAAGCTTGATTAAAAATGCCTAATTTCCAGGATTATGCCAGGCCAACCATTTTTAAGACAGCTGCAACATATTGCCTCCCTCCCAGACACATCATACACTAACATACCTACTATGTAATTATACTAAAAAGGTTAAAACAGCATTACAGTTTTTACTAATATCTTATATTTTTTAAAATAAAGAAGACAATAGATATATTTTATATTAAGAAGCTGAGAAAATACAAAAGAAATATAAAAAGAAAAAGCTACTTGAAAAATCAATAAATTTTGTATTTTATATTTTACATTCTTTGTCCCATAGCAAGCTCAAAACATAGGGGAATGGTATCAAAATGTTGGTATTGATAAAAAAAATGTGAGTAAAGGCATCAGAATTAGTACGCCCTGAAAAATGAGATCTGTGGACTTGGCAGCATATTTGAAATTATGTAAAAAATAATAATTTTTAATACAATACAGAATATGACTTCAACAGGCATATATATTAGGCAAAAGAATCAAAATTAAATGCAAATTGTAAGTTTGCAAGATGCCCAAGTTTTCTCGTAAATCCAGAATATTAAAATCATCAGTGAATCAGTGTCAATGGGTCAGTCAAGTCCTGAACAGAGCTGAATTGATAAGAAAACTATACAGACCCAGTACCGAACAAGAACTAAAATGATTATCAATCAGGCTAGTCAGGTCTGACCTGATAAGGCTCAATAATATTTAAGAACTATAATTGTTGCTAGTTTATCATTAGTATGCTGTCAGCTACTTACTGTTTTTTTATCAGCAAAAGGAGTTTATTAATAATTTCAGAAATTTAGTCAGCCACCTAATGTTATTGTGCTGTCAAAATCCTTTTTTATTATTTTTTATTAGAGTGTACCTCTGGGCATTATTGAAATTCCCCCATTTTATTTTGTTGCCCTTTTTTTTGATAATAAAAGAAAATTTTATTGAGAAAAAAGCGAACATGAGAGAGGTGACAAGCAGTCACCCACAAAGAAGAGACCTCAACACAGACATGCCTCAAAACCTAACACTCAGCTCCCCCTTCTACCTAGACCCCAAAACAACATACACAACAAAAAGCAAAAACAAAACAGGCAACACATGAGCCGGCCCCCATTACTCCTTCTCCATATACCCATCAACATTCCCATCTTCTGCTTCATTCCAAGCCTCTCACTCCTTCCCCCACAATAACTTCCTTCAGACTCTCCCCCTTCCTTCTCTCAAACTCAGAAATGATTTCATTAAATTTAATTAAGGCAGTACAACCAGAAGTTATGAAGGATACAAAAGGACACCGAATGCTCAAACCCCCAAATATTACAGATGGGCTCAAAACATAAGACCATCTTTGTAACCCTTTTGTTTAGCTAAACTATCTAACAAACTGTTGGTCGATATTCTAACCCAATTAATTTGAATCAACATATCCCTGGAGGGCCTGTTGAACCTCCTAAGGCCATTCCTTAGGTGCCAAGAAACTCTTTCCCCTTTCCTTAACCAGTCCACAACTGTTTTGGAATCACCTTCTATAATTAGCCTTTCCAGGCTCATTTCCTTAGCATTCTTAAGCCCAAATACAGCAGCTAAGAATTCTGTTGATGTCACATCACTTTGCCCAGCTGGACCCGAGAGGACGGCACATATGCTGCTTTCCTCATCCCTGATAGCTCCTCCAATTGCAGCGGGGCCTGGATCACCCACACTGCTCCCACCGATTTAGCTAAGCTAGTTGAGAGAAGCTATTCAAAGAAGCTCAAGCGGGCAGTCCTTTAAATGACTGATGGGTAGCTGATTTGGGACCACCTAAGAAAGCTAAAAGCCACTGTGCTTCAACCCTCCCAAACAGGCACTACCACCAGATGCCGGCTTCTGTATAATCTTGGATGGGATCTTTTCTTCCCCCTTTTTTCCCTTCATTTAATGAAATTACAAGCATCATTCAAAAGAATCTCAACTCTCAGATTAAAGTAGATAAATTACCTTTTAGACAAAATATAACAAAAATTAAAAAAAAAAATACTATGAGAAATTACTAAATATAACTACATGGAAATGCTGTAATATCGTAATATACATTAAACTTATATTATATACATGATCAATTTGGGTCTTAATTGTCTTGGAACAGCCAGAACCAGGTCCTGGCCAAATTATAATCAGGACATAAAAATAAGAACCAGACTGACATGTCTTTAAGTTGGGTAAAACTGATCCATTGACAACTCTAGTACTCCTCAAGTATCCTCCTTCAAGTTGAGTCAATCATCAATGGCAAATATTCATAGTGGTAGCAGGACTAACATGACATTTCAAAAGATATTTTATCATTTTCTTCTCAAAGAAAATCATGGGCAGTATGTAACTCCAGCTCATTGCACTGAAGTAGATACCTGCATGACATGAAGATAACAAGATCTCACATAAGCCATATATAAATGGAAGAGACAACTAATGATTTTTAAAAATAATGTTTACAAGTGATTCAACTCCACCTAAATGGTCCCTTGGGTTTGAAAACAAGGTGACAGTTTTAGAAATAAACTAGATTGTCCAGGGATAAAACAGAAAACATATTTAACTTGGATAAAAAAAAAATGGGATAAGAATAAAATTTAACTCTTTATATATTACAGCTGATGATCTTTAAGCTTATTTATGAGATATTTTCTTGGAAGAACTAAATAAACTACCAAAGTATGTTCTGATGGTTTCTTTTCTCAGTTTTCTGATTGGAAGTGAAGCTTATTGCAAAAGGAAAGGTTCTTCCTTCTTAGGTTCACCCTTAAGGTACATAAGAAAGTTTTAGTATCTAAAAGGTTCTTCCTTCTTAGGTTCACCCTTGAAGTTCCAAGTTCTAAAAGGATATCCAAACCTCAAGTACCCCCCCCC